TTATTATGTATACAATATTCTGTCTGTGTGTATGCCTGCAGGCCAGAAGACGGCACCAGACCTCATTACAGATGGTTGTGAGCCACCATGTGGTTGCTGGGAATTGAACTCAGGACCTTTGGAAGAGGAGGCAATGCTCTTAACCTCTGAGCCATCTCTCCAGCCCTGGGCCTTTGGTTTTTAGCCAGAAAATGGAGTTAGCAATTTCTAAGTCACAGGGTTTGGACAACTTACGTTTTAACAGAAAACAAACTATTGTTTATTTTGTTTTGAGCCGGGGTCACAGTACGTAGTCCAGGCTGATCCCAACCCAGGATCGCCCTACCTGTTTCCAGAGTAGTGCTGGACTCATAAGGAAATGCTATCCCAGTCTCCCTAGAAACAGTCTTATGTCAAAAGGATGAGTTTCTGGTAGACCGAGTTTCAAGTGTCAGGCAAAGATAAGGATTAGGAGTTCAGGGGTAAAGCCAGGCTCCTTTCTCAGGCCCCGCTGTCGTGTAGACAGGACGCTGCCTACTAAAAGTCCCATTTCTCTACCTCTTCCCATCTCTGATGCAGCTGTCCCTGCTTAAGGAGGTGGGGGGATTGCGAGTCAGTCCTGCCCTGAGCCAGCTGCTGTATGTTTCTCTACGCTCTGGGAAATCAGTATTCTGTCCCCATTAGCAGGGTAAACAGAGGCTTGGAGGTGTTACATTCCTGAGCACAGACCATGTGAGTCAGTGTCAAAGATCAGTTACGTGTTTGTTTGTGTGTGCGCAGGTGCATATACACATGTGACGTGTATGCCTGTGGAAGCCAGCTGTTAGTCTGTCTCAGACATTCTTCAAGAGCTGTTCACCTTGCTTCAGAGACAGGGTCTCTCAGTGGTATCAGAAACGGGGTCTGCTCCTAGCTTCTTTTGTTAAGGGCACAGACAGAGCTACGTGATCAGCTCGGACCGGGGTAATGGCTTTTGTGCCATATCGAAATATGGGTCCACACCCAGTGGTATCCAGGACTCACTGAAGGGGATAGACTGACTGACTGACCATCAGCTCCAGGTAGCTGGCTACCTGTCTGCCACCTATCTCCTTGCCCCCAGTGCTGGGATTACAAGTGGATACCACCACACCCATGTTTTACATGGATATTGGGGATTGAACTAAGGTCTTCACACTTGCAAGATGAGAGCATTTTGCCCAACTGGCCTATTTCCCAAGTCCCAAAGGTATCCTTTAAACCTAGAATTTCTTGACTCCAAGGTCTTCGCATCCAAAAGGCAATGTCCTCCAATGCTGCCTGTCTGGGCTGTGGTTCTCAGTACTAGCTCAGGGGACATCTTAGTTTCAAGAAGTCTGAGGGCCCTCCTGGGCAGCTGTTTGCCCCACAGCACCTCCTTGCCCTTCTTTGTGAATAGACTTTCCATACCTTGCTGCCCCGACAGTCAGGGGTTATGTAGGGGTCAGATATCATCCAGCCACGAGCCCTGCTCCCATCTCAGGATGCTATCATGGGTCCAGAGGGCAGGAGGAGGCACATGGCAGAGGGAGGGGCAAAGGCCTTGGGTTTAGCATGATCTTTGCCCTTCTCTCACCAACCCCTGCCCGGGTACAGCAGAGGGGACTTCTGGGAACACAGCGGTGGGTGGAGGCCTTTGGTGGAGGTGGAGGGGGGCACGTGTGACCTCCCCCTTGCCACCTCCCACCCGAATCCTGCCACTGCTGATCTGTGGCTGCAGACTCCCCATTCCTTTCTACCCCGAGGCCTCCAAGTGGCTTCTGCAGAGGCCTGTCATTGGCTCCAGGCTATTGTCTGGGTTGTGCAGGAGAGATGGGTCTGTGAGGTCAATGTGAAGGGCTAAAGCCGGTCTGAGGCCCTAGGCTTGTCCTCTAAGCCTTTCTCCATCCCACCAGCCTCATTGGGGAAGCAAGTAGCTGAGCCTTTGGCTGTGGAGGTGGAGGTAAATAGCGTGGGCAATCTCAGAGGGATTTCTCAATTCTTCTGGCAGCTGGCTGCATGGCCTCCCTGCCTCAGGCTCTGGTCTGAACTGCTCAGCAGGTGACCTTTGGCCAGCTCACTGGGCCTTCTGTGCCCGCTGTCCCATCCTGGGGCCAATATAAAACAGGTCAGGGCCCTCCCGCTTGCATGATCAGTTTATCCCTAGAAGCAACTAGCTACTCCAGGTAATGCCCCTGGGGAGGACAGGCAGGGAGGGAGGGGACAGAGAGCCAGAGGAAGCCTTTGCCAGCCAGCCAGGTAGCCTATGAAAGGCTTGGGATCCATGAGTAGCCTCCACCCTTGGGTTCCTGGTGAGTGGGGGAGGGCTAGAAGTTGAGGAAGGGGAGGCCACTGGACCAAAAGCCCTGCACTGGGTAGTGGCAGAGCTGACTGGAACTGGGTCATGCTGTCTCTTGCTCAGCATGCCCAGAGCTATTGGAAGCCTTTGACATTCATGTCTGCTACAGACAGAAACACTGATATCTAGGGAGGGACAGAAACCTGATGTCACCCAGCACATCAGGGGAGAGAATGAGCAGATGTTCCATTCTGTGGAGGCTTTCTACACCCAACCTTCTACCCTACCCTGGGGCCTGGATCTCCTATAGTTCCCTGTCTGAGAGCGGATATCATTAGGAGAGGGGCTTGGGATTCACCCCAGGACCCATGGCAGTCTCCAGGGAAGGGACTCAGTAGGGTGGGTCCTTCCACAGATTCCTCTCACAAGCAATTTCCTGCAGGTGCAGAGGTGCCATGCAGCCCCGGGTGCTCCTCATCGTGGCCCTCTTGGCGCTCCTGGCATCTGCTCGTGAGTTTTGGGAGTTGGGGCTGGGGTTTCTATGAGAGCCTGTCTGGGGACCCTGCCCTGATGAGTGGGGGCTGCGGAGGAGCTGTGGGCTGGCAGGGCTCAGCTCCACTCTTTCGCAGGAGCTGAAGAGGTAGAAGGGTCCTTGCTGCTGGGCTACGTGGGACAGGCCGCCAAGAAGGTACAGGATGCTCTAACCAGTGTGCAGGAGTCCGAGATGGCTGTGCAGGCGAGGTATGCCTACTGGCTCTCTTCTCCTGCTTCCTCCCCTCCTCCCCCTGCCCTTTTCTTGAGACTCCCACACAGAGACCGCGGTTCCCCCAGTTTCCCCAGGGTCTGGGCCTGTCTGAGCCTCTGCTCCTTTGTGGGGCCTTTTCTGGGTACTGTGGCTGAGGTGAGAAGCAGAGCAAGCAGCCCTCTTCTGTCTCCTTTGCTTCTCCTTGGAGCAGCCTCAGGTGCATAGAGCCCTGGCTGCACGTTCTCTTCTCCAAGCTTGGGGCTAGCGGCTCGCTTGGGGGCCCACCTGCTCTAGTTTTAGCCTGTGTTGCAGGGCTCTGCCCCTGGTCCAATCTGTGTTAGATATCTGCCTACTGTGGGTCCAGTCGTCACCTCTGCCTGCTGGCCCAGGGCTTTGACTGACATTTGTTATTGACCCATGCAGCAGAAGATGTTGACAAATGTTCTTTGTCCCCAGAACGGGCTGTGGAGAGGGTATGATTTCCCCAGCTTTGCAGGGGAGAAAATTGACTCCGAGAAGTTAGGTGATCTGGCTAGATCGCATAGCTCATGGGTCCTCCAGTAACTTTTCAAATGAGAGGCTGCCCCCCTCTGCCCCACACGTGTAGAGCCAGCGATGGGACACCTTCAGGACACTATTTACACTGACCACAAAGACAGGCTGACCTTAAGCATCACCCTACCCTCAGGCCTGAAAGGGGTTTGATGCGGTGGGGTGGGGCAGCCACGAAGGTCTGGTCCAACCAGGGAAAATGTAGAATTCTACATTAGGCTCCCCCTCCACCACCTTTGCCATCTCTTCCACCCTGGGAGTTAGCTGCAGGCATTTCCGGGCTGGTGCTAGGTGAGGTGGTGCTGATGGCTGGGAGAGCCAATAGGGCTCTGTGGTTCTGGCTGCCTGCAGGGGAACCTCTCACAGGGACCTTGATGGATGCCTCTTATTGCTTTAACCCCCAGGGGCTGGATGGACGGTGGCCTCAGCTCCCTGAAAGATTACTGGAGCACCTTTACTGACAAGTTCTCCGGCCTCTGGGATTCTACCCTCAAGGCCCAACTAACCCCAGCTGCTGAGCCTTGAGACCTCTATAGTCCAAATGTACCTGTTCGTCCATCCTGTTTGCCTCTGGGCAGGCTGGGTGTCCCCCGAAGGTTGCTTGGAAGGAAAAGTATTCTCGTGTTTTCACCCCTCCCCAGACCTCACCTAAACAGACTGCTCCTAATAAAGCTGGATGAGAAGCTGCCATGAGTGGGGGTGTCCCACGGACCATGATGTCTGGGCACGGGAATGAGTGGTGCTGGGCTCTGCCTCCTCCACCTCTTTAGTTGTCTCCGGGGCATGTCTTCCTTTGTAAGCCGGACTAGTTCTGTTTACCTGCTTGCCTTGATGTGCGTAGGTGAGAGAGCAAATCAGGCAACAGAGTTGCAATTACAGCCTGTGACAAACTGTCAAGTGGAGGGACAATGTGTCTTGAGTAGGGATACTGTCTAGCTGGCCCTTGAATGTCATCTTCAGAGTTGAGGTCAGATGTGATCACGAAGCCCAGGTAACTGGTTTGCGTGCTCCAGGCTGCCTGGTGCCATGAAGTCCCCTGAGAGGAAGGAAGCGGGGTGGGAGGCTGGTTGGCTAAGGCTTGCCCCCACTGCATCGCAGCTGCCTCCATTTCCTATGTATAAGGTGGGCACGATCCGCCCCCTGCACAGCAGGCTTGTTATGAAGATGAAATAGTAGCGTTCAAAAGCACGGGGCGTAGCGTCTGTGCAGTCCAGGTGCCTGGTAAGCAGTCTTCACTGTGGTAGCTCCACTGCCTGACCTCTTAGACTGGCATGGAGACCCAAGGTCCTGGGAATCCCAACAGGGCTGTTTACTATGTTCCCACCACCCCAAAGCACTGACTTCAGAGAGATCCAGGGTCACAAAACAGGTCGCTCACCCTGTAGAATCAATGGCCAGTGTTCAGAGAGGTGACAGGGATTGCCTTGGGTCAAGAGCAAGCACATTGCAGGGCCAGCCATCCATTTTCCACTTTGTGGTCATGGGAAAAGCCTCTGCCAGGTGTTGGCGGCTCCTTTCTGGACAGCACCGGCACACCCAGCTGCCTGGACTGCGTTCTCTCTGGAAATCCAACAGGGGCTTCTCTTCCTGACCGCCCAGAGCTGGCAGTCTCGGTGTCCACACCTGGAAGCCTTCCCGCCCAAACCTGGCTTGATACCTGTTGTCGCTCTGTGTGATTAGGGGTTTAAAAGCCCACCCCTTCATCCAGGGGCTCATGAAGATACACCGGGGATGGGAATGGAGCCTTGGGAGGAGGGAGAGGGACTCCCCGGATGTGTGAAGACCACCTGCGTACTAACACGAGGATGAAGAGGGGCCAGTCGAGTAAGAGAAAGGTTGTTCCTGTGAGAACGTGCATACACCCTCACCTGCATGAACACGAGTACTTTGTTACACTTTAAAAAAAATTTTTTTTAAGTAATTGTGTGCGCCTGCAGCAGGCTGGTCTTAATAATGAACAACCCGGGCTTGGTGTGTAGCTGAGTTGGTAGAAAGCTTGCCTGGCATGCACAAAGCTCTGGGTTTGAGCCCCAGCACTGCATAAACTTGGCATGGTGGTACAGCCCTGTACCCCTGTACCCAGCACTTGGGAGATGGAGGCAGGAAGATGAGAAGTTAAAGAGCATCGTTGGCTGCAGACTGGGTTTGAGGCCAGCCTGGTCTGTCTGAGACGCTGTCTCAGGAGGAAATGAATAAATAAGTAACTAAACAAGGACTGGCAAGATGGCTCAGGTGGTAGAGGCACTTGCTACTCTAATCCTGGCGGCCTGAGCTTGGTCTTTGGGACTCACATGGTGGACAAAGAGAACTCCTGTAAGTTGTCCTCTGAGTGCCACACATGTTCTGTGGCACGTGAAAACCCACACACATTAAATAAATCTAATAAAATTTTAAATTACACTTATTTATATTTGTGTGTGTGTGTGTGTGTAGTGAGTCCCAAGTACTAAATTCAGGTTCTCAGGCTTGGTGGCAATTGCCTCTACTTTGTGAGCCTGCCATCTTATTAGCCCAGTGTAATAAAAGTTTGTTTTGTTTTTCAAGACAGGGTTTCTCTGTGTTGCCCTGGCTGTCTTGGCTCTCTGTAGACCAGACTAGTCTCGAACTCACAGAGATCCTCGTCTGCCTCCTGAGCTTCAGGAGACAATTAATCCCGTCCCACCTTTCCTTCAGTGACTAACTTCAGCATCAGCTCCCCAGCAGACATGGACATTTGCGATGTGGAGATGGATATGAAGGCCTCTCTAATAAACGTGGGGATCAGCACCACGAAGGGTTTTTGCCCAGCTGGCAGGTAGAGTGGCTAAAGCCATGGTGACAGCTACCTTTCACAGCCGGCCAGTTTCCGAGTGGGGGGATGATTTCGTGGGAGTCTTGCCGGAGGGAAAGAAAAAGAGAAGTTTGATGAGGGGTTGGAGTTCGTTCATGAGAGAGAATTAAATTCCAGGCATTTTATTTGCACTTGTCCAATAATTCCAGTCTCTTTGGCTAATTGAGGGATCCTGGCTCCAGGGAGTGGAAGATGCTCACACATCGTCTGCCCAAGTGGACCCCACCTGGGAACACTTCTGGCAGAGGAAACCGGTCCTTTCCCAATCGGGGCCTCAGCACTAGGGGTTTGAGCCTCTGGGGGGGGGAGCACTTTTCAAGGGGCTCCCTGTTACTTTGCCTGGCCATCTATTTCCCTCCGAGCCTTCTTAGGACAGGGATTCTGTCTCACACTCTTAATCAGCCTCATGCCCAGCCTGAGTGAGCTTGGAGAACTGAGGAGTCCTGCACAAAGGAATCCCCATTGCAGTACCACGTCCCCGCATCATTGGATGTCCCTTTAGCGATCTCCCTATGTCCCCCAAAGAAAGAAGCCATCCCACTTTGGAAAGATTTATTCTAAGAAAGCAAATGCAGGGGTGGGGAGCGGAGGTGGGCTCCTCACTGGGAGCTCAGCTTCTTGCTGGCTTCGTCGATCATACTCATTAATCTGACCCTGAAGCTCTCCAGCACGGGCATCACTCCCTGGCGCAGGTCCTCCAGAGCAGGTTTGGCCTTCTCGCTGAACGCCTTCAGGTGTTCGGTGGCCTTGGTGTGGTACTCTGCGAGGGTGGCGCTGTCCTTGAGTTGGGCCAGACGCTCAGCCAGGCGGTCGCGCATCTTGTCGCTGTAGGGCGCCAACTTTGTGCGCAGAGTGTCAACGTGCTGGCGCATGCGGTCACGAAGATCCTCGCCCACAGGGGTCAGCTTCTCCTGCAGCTCCTGCAGCTTCTGGCGCGCGCCCTCACGCAGCTCGGCGCCCAGAGGCTCCACTTTCTGGCGGTAGAGAGCCACCTCCTCCTGCCACTTGCTCTGGAATTGGTCCAGATAGGGCTGCACCTTCGTCTTCACATCCTCCAGGTCCTTGTTCATCTCCTGTCTCAGCCAATCTGTGTCCTTTTCCAGGTTATCCCAGAACTCCTGAGTCACCGGGCCCAGCTGTTCCTGCAGGCGACCAATGGATGAGCCCAGGGTGTCCCAGTTCTCCAGGAGATTCAGGCTGGAGGAGGAGAGAGCAGCTGAGAGAAGGCCCCAGGCATCCTGCACTGCCCCAGGTCTGGGGCAGTCTGGGTGCCACCTGTTTCCGAAAGTGCAATTGTTGTATTTCTAGTTTCCCGGGACATGCACCCCTCAAACTCCCTACCCCTGCTTCCACATCCCTCTGTACACATGGCCTGAGGTACCAAGGACACAGATGGGGTTGGTGCCTGTTGCCAGGCCAGTTCCCTTTTTGTGCTGCCTGACCAGTACTGGGGGTTACCCAGGGGACTGACCAGTACTGGGGGTTACCCAGGGGAAGGGAATTTTGCATTCATAGGCAGAAAGAGGGGCTGTGGTTACCTTCCACCCAGGTGAATCCCATCCCTATTCCTTCATTGGAACCTGCCATGGTGCCCAAATGGTAGGCTAGCAGGTGAAGATTTGGCCAGTTAAGTTACGGCATCTTCTCGCAGGCCTCTTTGCCCACCCTAGATGGACAACCTTTGCCCTGCTCCAAGGTCCCAGGCTGGGTCCTTTCTTACTTAAGCTGTTTGCCAAAGGCGGAGGTTTCAAACTGGGATACGTAGTCTCTGCCGGTGTCTTTGACCGCATCCACATACACAGTGGCGAAATCCTTTATTCTGTTCCAAGGATTCTGGGGGGGCTCATCTTTCTGCCAGAAGTGCCGTGCCTGGCTCCCTGGGGATGCAGGAGAGACCTATGTCAGACCATCTCTGGGCTGGGGTCTGAGCTGAAGAGTCAGGAAGGAGACCAGAGAGAATTCTATTCTCTGCCCAGGAAGGTAGGCCATGGGGGCCTAAGCAGAAGCCCACTCCACTCCAACTGTTGCTTCTCTAGGCTGGAGGTACCTACCTGTCAGGAAGAGCACAGCCACGGCCAGCACCACAGCTTTCATCCTCAAGGGTGTGGGTGACCTGAAGAAATAGAATTGCTGGGCTGAAGGGGAGCCCCTGTCATGTAGGAGCCCCACACTTGCACCCCACATTCAAGCCAGTGAAAGAATAAGGGTGTAGAGTGGGAAAAGGCCCAGATACCCACAGAGTGGAACATCCCTTGGGAGGCACTAGGGAGCCAGAGTAGCCTAGGGCAGGTAGCCAGCCTCACTTACCTCCCTGGAGCTCTCTAACAGTCCCGGAGTGAGTGCCCGGCTCATCTCCCCTGGCCTATTTATGTCTGTAGGCAGGGGCTGGGCTGGAAGACTGATAAGCCCAACCCTGGCCCTGTCTCTGCTTACTTGTCCTGACGATGTGGAACTTAAGAGTTCAAGGATCAGCTGTGTTCCTGAGGCTGGGCAAACAGAGTGGGCAAACAGGAAGCTGCGGGGGCTGCAGAGCTGAGATCAAGGGTTCAGGTGGGGGCAGCAGGGGAGCGGCTGCACACTCAGGGGGTCCCCAGGGTTAAGTCAGTCGACTATCCTTTTCCTGTACTTCTATGCTGGGAGCAGGGCGGGGGTTAGGGAACTTTGGGCTCCTGCACTCACACTCCCTCTCCAAAGTTTCTTGCATTACAAGGAGTTGATCCTTTCACCTCATCCTGGCCCCCCAGGTAGGGTATGCAGCTCTGCAGATGCCACGTGCCTGAGAGGCCTCCCATCCCTAAATCCAAGAACAGCTGAGGTGCCATGGAATTGCCTGGGTGAAATGCAGAGGGGTTCAGGGTCCCAG